GCACTTATTAACAGATCTAAAAATCTGTTGTTGTGAGTAAGGAAATGAACTTTGTACCTGTTCAAGAGCATGTTCATCTATTCATTGACTTGATTTTATTCTCCCCCACCCTTATTATTATTTTTTTCCTGTCCTTGCTTCTTCTATGCATCCTCTGGGCTAGGGTGACCAGATGCTACCCTTTTAGTAATTTGTCCTTGTTTGGAACTACAAGTGTTTTTTAAGGGCATTGTTATTTTTTTATATTTAGCCCTTGATTTTTTTGTGCCTTTTATTTCATTTTCATTATTGGCACGAGATCTAGTGGGGTACTTTTTGGCCTTGGTTTATGAATTTTCATTTTACCTTTTTTCTGCATTTGCAGTTCCTTTAGTGGGGTAAATGCTACCCTTTTAGTAATTTGTCCTTGTTTTGAACTACAAGTGTTTTTTAAGGGCATTGTTATTCTTTTATCAATTTAACCCTTGATTTTTTGTGCCTTTTATTTCATTTTCATTATTGGCACGTGATTTAGTGGGGTACTTTTACCCTTTTAGTAATTATAGAGGCATTTTTGCACCAGGGCTTTGTTATTTCTTACATTATTGTTTTTGGATTTAAAATTTAAAGACAGCCTTGGTTTATGAATTTTCATTTTACCTTTTTCTGCATTTGCAGTTTTTTCAGGGGGTAAATGTTACCCTTTTAGTTATTTGGCCTTGTTTTGAACTATAAGTGCTTTTTAAGCACATTGTTATTCTTTTATAAATTCAGCCCTAGATTTTTTTGTGCCTTTTATTTCATTTTCATCATTGGCACGTGATTTAGTGGGGTACTTTTACCCTTTTAGTAATTATAGAGACTTTTCTGCTCCAGGGTTTAGTTATTTCTTATATGTTTGTCTTTGAAGTTAGGTGGGGCATTGTTTGATTTTATTCTTTTGGCATAACCCCTTTCTTTGGTTTTTTGGTTTACATCTTGGTTTTTGCCTTGGGAACTTTTGTTGGTTTCTAACCACAAAGCAACCATAAAATGTAGGACATTTAAGAGAAATTGAAGACATTCCAAATAAAAGCTAAAAACACTCATATAAATATAAGTTCATTTCATATGGCTTATTTAAAACTATATTACGCATACTGTATTTTATTTTGTACTTAACCATATTTTTCTGACAAACCTATATTTGTTAAAATGCCTTGTTGGCTTGCAATAAACTCATAGGACTCTGATCAAGATAAAAGCTTAAAATTGTATTTTATTACCAAAAAAATAACAACCCCTTGACTGAATCGACCTTTAAATAATTCCTTTGTCCGTTGTGTTGAAATTAAGGGGAAAAACTCTTTCAGCATTTTCATCGCGTCCTTACCATGCAACGATAAGGATGAAGATGTGTGTAAGGTATGTAAGGTTAAGGTTAGGAATAATCTATGTTTATTATGTTGTTTTTTAGATGATACAAATATTTTTGTCTTATTTATTTGTTTTTTCTTGGTATTATGTCTGTCTGTTTGTAGTTGTTGTATATTTTGAATAAATATATTTTTTAAAAAACAAACATTTGCATTGCATCCTCAAGCAAGCCATTGCCTAACATGTTTATTGTCTTTTTCCCCCTCCAAGAAACAAATGTGCACTGAGCTCTGGGTGCGAGTCTTGCCTGTTGCTGCTGCAGGATCCATCCTATCTCTCTCTTTGCAGCAAGGACAGGCTGCCAAGTAGACACATTTCTTGGAGGGGGAACAGCTAATGTGAGGTTACTCAATAGGCTTCTTAGCCATGCTCAAATGGGAGGACATTTTTGAATTCCTCCTGGACAGAAGATTGAATAAGATATGACCTGGAAAAGGAGGACATCTGGTCATCCTGCTTGGCTTCATGTGTCTAATTTAGGTTTTCCTTCGGCTCGGACTCATTGGTTTGTTGTCCTAGCCTTTGTCAATACATTAGCCAGCCTTGGCACACTTTTGGTCTGCTCTTGATTGTCTTTGCCACCCTCCAGCGGAAATCTGAGCAAAAGGTTGCAGCTCAAAAGTCCTCATGGCATCTGGAAAAAAAGGAAAGAAGCCAAGAGAAGTCCCTGTACTTCTGAACTCAAAACATGTACAGCCTCTGGTAGGACTGGCCCTGAGATACGTTGCTGCCAGGGGCAAAAGGCAAATGCTGCCACCTCTATTCAATGTCCAGGAGCAGATTGAGCTGAGAATATTTTGACACTGGCAATGGGGTGTTGTTGTGTGCCTTCAAGTCATTTCTGATTTAAGGTGACCCTAAGTTGAAGCCATCATGGGGTTTTCTTGGCAAGTTTCTTCAGAGGGGGTTTGCTATTGCCATCCTCTGAGGCTGAGAGTGTGTGACTTGTCAGAGGTCACCCAGTGGGTTTCCTGGACGAGCACAGATTCGAACCCTGGTTGTCAGAGTTTTAGTCCAATGTAGGGTCCCCCAAAGCACCTGATGACAGCAGGCTCGGACTTTTTGGGGGTGTGTGCAAAACAAGCTGTGGTGAACATCTACCTTTTTCCCCCAAGAGAAGGAAACAAGAAACTGCCCTAACTGCATTCCCAGCTTGGAAAAATAACTTTTGGATCACATCTCCTTGAATTCCCTCACCCAGCATGGACACTGGCCGTGCCGACTAAGGGCAGGGTGACCAGATGTGCTCCTTTTCCGGGACACATCCTCCATTTCTGTCCAGGAGGAATTTCAAAATGTCTTTCATTTTGAGCATGACTAAGAACCGTGGATTTACATTTCCATGAGTGTTTTTAGCCTTTATCTTGTAATGTCCTATGTTTTTCTCAAAGGCCCTACATTTTGTGGTGCCGTGTCCACCTTTGTGGTCCACCATCTGGTCACCCTGGCTGAAGGATTCTGGTAGATTTATATAAGGAATGGTGAGCATAAATTCATTTTGAGCCCCTCCAGCTATACCCATAAATGCAACAGTTTCACTTTGCCATCCCCAGAACCCAACATTCACCTAAATACCTAAGGTCTGTAGAGGGCTGGGAGGATGTGAAAATGAGGCCACAGCTCTCCCACAGTTGCCCATCCCTGACTTAGAGGTAGGATCTATGTCTGTGAACTTGTGTTGTTAAATGCCATCCAATTGACTTTGATCTATGAATGAGAGACCACCAAGCCACCTCTACAGCCCTGCTCAGTTCTTGCAAACTCAAGACAGCCGTGGGTTCCTTGGCTGAGTCTATCCAACTGGAATACGGTCTTCCTTTGTTCCTACTCTATTGCCTTCTACTTTACCAAGCATCATTGTTTTTTTTCTTCTAGTGAATGATGTCTTCTCATGATGTGTCCAAAGTATGACAGCTGCAGTTTAGTCATCTTGGCTTCTAGGAAGAGTCCAGGCTTGATTTGCTCAAGGACCCATTTATTTGTCTTTTTGGCAATACATGGTGTCTGCAAGACTTTCCTCCAGCACCACTATTTCTTCAAGGAATAGTGAGGAAACTGTGGCTCTCTGGATGATTCTGGGTTGCATCTCCCATTATGCTTGACCATTGGCCATGCTACCTGGGATGGTGGGAGTCCAGGAACCAGGGTCAGAGATTCCCCATCCTTGTATCCCCAAACATCCCCAAACAAACCCAGTGTAGTGGTTTGAGCATGGGACTTCAGGTCTGGAGATCAGGGTTCAATTACCTGCTTGAGGATATAAACCCTCTGGGTGAGCTTGGGCAAGTCACATTCTCTCAGCCTCAAAGGATGGCAATGGCAAATCCCTCTGAAGAAACTCGTCAAGAAAACCCTATAATAGGTTTGCCTCAGGGTCACCATAAGTTGGAAATGCCTTGAAGGCACACAACAACAACAAATTGCATATGAATGTGTTGACCATTCTTTGGGCTAACTATAGGAGGTATTCACACTACACAGTACGACACTTTGATACCACTTTAACTGGCATGGCTCCATCCTACAGAATCCTTGGATTTATAATTTCACAAGAGAACTTGTCGAGAGAACTTGTCTAGTGCTGTAGTTCAGGGGAATAGTAGCTATTTGCTGAACTACAGAGCTCAAGATTTGAGAGGACAGAGCCATAGCAGTTAAAGTGGTATCAGATAGCTGTAATTGTGTTATGTGGAAATTCAGAATTGTTGACAAGCTTGAGTGGAGACAATAGATTATCCTATCTTTTTTGTGGCTGCTTAGAAAGGTCCTATTTTATGGTATTTTGTTTTGTTTCACTGCATTTTACTGGAAATTTGGAATCAAAGAATAGTACAGAAAAGTTTTAAATAGATGAAATAAATATATTTAAATAAATAAATGGTTCTTTTGACGATGCTGTCATTTCAGCACAGAATAAGGGCTGGTAGTTACTTTGCATACATTATTTCAAGATAAAATGAAATGATGGTGGTCAGATAACAAACTGGGATGATTTAATGTCAATTTTGTTCCCAAAATATTGGCTGCAGTTCTGTATAGCTTTACCTGAGGATAAATCCCATTAAACTCAATCGAGATTACTTCTGAATGGAAAGGACTGTATTGATCACATCAGCTTCATTCTTCAAATTTTCCAGGAAAATGTTTAAGAAAAGCTTATCTAGCCAAAGTAACACCAAAGTAGCTCTTAACATAGACGATTATGTGTGGGTAACAAATTAATATTTCCCCCTTCTGTTACTATTTTCAGCCATGTTGTGTGATGCAGTGCTTTACACTCTAGCCTTCTGTTTTTGGTTTGTGACTCAGGAACATCCAGGTAAAAACCAGATCCATGTTTGGAAGTCTTCAAAGTTTACTTCTCCCCCTCCCCACCCAAGAAGGAATGCAAGTTGAATCATCCAGGGCTATCCTGTTTTGCCTTTCCTAGCTAGTATTCTACGGATGGTTACTTCCATATTCCATTAACTATGCTTCGGAAAAAAAATCCATCTTTGAGCTAAGCTAACTGTGATATTGTGAATAGGGAGCAGGGATGTGAGCAAAAAATCATTAGGACGGTCCTTAATGATGGAGAGGGGATGTCTTATTTTTATTTTATGTGTGCCTATACATGGTGTAGCGGTTTGAGTGTTGGACTTTGACTCTGGAGACCAGGGTTCAAATCCCAGTTCGGCCACGTAAACCCAGTGGGTGACCTTGGGCAAGTCACACTCTCTCAGCCTCAAAGAAAGGCAATGGCAGCCCCCCGCCGAAGAAACTTGCCAAGAAAAACCCATGATAGTTTTTTTAAACAAGGGATAGTGGGGCAAGTGTGGTTCTCTGGATGCTGCTAGGTTGCATCTCCCATTATCCTTGACCATTGGCCATGCTGGGTGGGATGATAGAAGTCCAGGAACATCTGTAGGGTCAGAGGTTTCCCATCCTTGTTTTAAAGCAGGGACCGGCAACCTACGGCCCGGGGGCCGCTTAAGGCCCCGGGCCCCGGACTTACCGGCCCAGGCTGAATGTTGCTGCCGCGCGCTGCCGTCAGGGCGCATTTTCGGCGGCGCATGTCGCGGCCGCCATTTTGGAAGTAAAAATGGCGGTTGTGATGCATTTGCGCATGTGCAGTACTCTTGCTCATGTGCAAATGCGTCACGGCCGCCATTTTTGACTTCCAAAATGGCGACCGCGGCATGCGTCGTGGCGGCTGTGGCCACGTGTGCTATGGCGGTGGCTGCGGTAGCGGCCGCGGCGGCAGTGTGCGTGGGGGAGTCACGCGTGGAGGACGAGGGTCCACGCTTGCGTGTGAGTGCGCACGCCGCCATTCTCCCCCCCCCTCGGCCCAGCCGAGAACCGGGCTACGGGAGACCGGCCCAGGTCTCAAAAAGGTTGCCTGTCCCTGTTTTAAAGACTGGTGTTGTGGTTTGAGCACTGGACTCCAACCACTAGTAGTCCAATGGTTGAAGGCACACAACAAGAACAGCAACAACAACAAATGTATGTATCTCTTTGAGATATGCTGAAGGGATCCTCCTCTGTGACCCACCAGTGGGGCAATATGATGGTGGAGGAAGGGTGTTTGTTGTGGCTCCCCACTTTTAGACTCTCTTCCCCTTAGAGTCAAAGTTGGTTTCTTTTTGGGATCAGGTCAAGACATGGCTTTCCAATAAAGCCTTGGGGAGAGCTCCCTTTATAGCATGTACATATTTTATTTATTCCTTTTTCCTTTTATAATTGTTTTAACTTATTTGAGTAGGGTATGTTTTTAATCTTTTTTTTTTACATTTGCTCCCTTTTTGGGAGAAAAGCAGCATAAAAATGAAATAAATAAATAAATAAATAAATAAAAATATGTACAGTGGAACTTGGATAATTCGAACCCCAAGGGACCAGTAAAAAAATTCGAATTATCCAAAAAACAGGATACTGTATTGCAAAATTTAAATACAGTACACATACGTTTTTGGGATTCCGCCACAGCATCTCCGCCTCTCCTTCCTCCTCCTTCTGGCGCTGGGGGAGTTGGGGGCCTTGCAGCGGTTTGGGGTTGCGTTGGAAAAACTTCGAATTATCCAATATATAATTTGAATTAACCATAATTTTTTAACATTGTTTTAATACAAGATTCTAGGGACCAGGGAAAATATTTGAATTAAAGAAAATTTCGAATTATAGAAGTTTGAATTATCCATGTTCCACTGTATTAATAAAGCAGAATTGATTGCTTATATTGTTTTATGTGTTTGCCCTCCTGAGATCTCATGATAAAAGGGTGAGATTAAAAAATACATTGCTAAATAAATAAACAACCCCCATGTTTTAAACCCTTACAAGTGCCTGCTAAGTTATTTGCATGAATGTGATCTCCCGTTGTTGGTTTTTATTTCAACTATCTGTTTTATTGGTCAATTTACACCACATTTTTCTACCAACAATTGGCACTCAAGACAGCTGTTGCTGTTTTTATTCTACATTATAGCTCACATTCATATTCATGGGGCTCATTCCCACTTGCTCTTAATCCGCTTTGCGAGTTGCGTTGACACCTGGTCACCGAAGCGATTCATACCGATGCGTAGTTCCCACTATGGAAGCAAATTATTACAAGAATTTCATGCATTTGTGTCTGTTTTGACATTCTTCTCATTCACACTAGCTGTTTTTTTAAAAATGTCAATCATATGACACACATAGGTGCATCATCAGTGCCAACCTGGGCAGCATCCCCAGGGCTCCGGAGCTCCCAAGCAGTCCTGGACCTCCGGGATCGGGCAGGGGAGTGATGCCCAACAGTCTCGGCAGAGAGGAAGCCAAGGGAGGCACTGGAAGATCCTGCCAAGCAGCCTTTGGGGAGGGAAGGAGGAATGGAAGAGGAGGGAGGCAGTGGCTGGTGGTGTTTTAGGATCGACATAAGTGTGAAACAACTTTAAGGCCCAAAACCCACCCACAGACAAGGCGAACCCTATCATGGGGGACTGTTACTCAAGTAGATGCAGAGGAGGGCTCCAGCATAAAAACCCAAAGTGGTGTTCAGCATGTCACACTCTGTCATCCTCAGAGGATGGCAAAGGTAACCCCCCCCCTGAACAAATCTGCCAAGAGACCCTCATGTTTTCTTAGGGTGTCCATAAGTTGGAAAGGACTTGAAGGCACACAATAACAACAAAGAGGGAGAGCTAGCCCGCCTGAAAACTAGCCAGCTAGCTGTGCTGTAGGGGAGAGAAACCCGGCCCTGGCTCTTCCAAGAGGCTGAGAGAGCAACCCTTTCTCCTCCTCCACTGCCACCTCCATCATCCCCTGCTACCTGTCCTCAATGGCTGTACCTGAAAGCACTGGAATGACTGGAAAGAAAGGAGTGCCTCTGCCTGAGGCCGTGGCTACAAAAGGGGAGGAGGAGGAGGAGGAAGAAAAGTCAAGGAGGTGAGGGAAAATGTCTGGGTCAAGACTGTTGGAATAGCAACAAGCTCTACACTTGAGCTATTATAGGGTTAATGACCGTCACAGGATTAATGGAGAGCTACTGAGAACACAGATGTCTTCAGCTGTATATGCATAGCTCTAATCAACCTTAGAGTCTTAATAAGGCTGGTTTTGTAGTGAGCTCTCTCTCTTTCTCTCCCTCTTTTGCTCACTCTATTCGCAGCCTTCTTTTTTGTTACATTAATTTGCTTGTATTATATAGTTTATATTATCATTATTATTTGCCATTTGTGATTATGTTTGCCATTACTACTATGGTTTACTTTGTATCTATTGTATATATGGGTTTTTTATGATTCTGTTACATATATTGTTCATTAACCTTTTAAACATTTCTAGATAAAGCTTTATTTATAGTACCTAAGGGCCTTTATAGACTGCCAGAAAGAGTGCAAATTGAGGCCACTTTAACTGTCCTGGCTCAGTGCTAGCGAATCATGGGAATTGTATTATTTTCTGGGACACTGAGCCTTCTCTGCCAGAGAGCTCTGGTGCCATAATAAACTACTAGTTCCCATGATTCCTTAGCACTGACCCAGGACAGTTAAAGTGGGTAGTTTTTTGTGGGTTTTTCGGGCTGTGTGGCCATGTTCTAGAA